CACCTCTCTTTGATTTCCATAGCTGGAGCGTGCATCCAATAAGGGCATTTTGGTTCGAAATTGCGTTCTCCCTAATCACGTTAACCGAGGGCTTACATATGGGCAAGGTCCTATGAAAATTCCACCTTTTGTCAGTTCTTCTCTGCGACTTTCAATCTAGAGAGGGCAAACTTAAAGATTCTTACAAGATGGCGATAGCCAGCTTTGAGAGCCTCAAAAACACCCGCGCCGACTTCACCGGGACCGGCCTGCCACGTTCCATAGCCCAGCAGACTGCAATTTTGGAGAGAGGGCAAAGAACAACCCATTTAGTCTAAAATGCCCCCCACTCCGGTATTTTAGCTAATACTTACGGAATCTGATAGTAGGTGTTAAGGGTCGCTTTCCTGCCTAGAGACATTGTGGCGAATTGGACACAGGTCAATAGGGACTGGATGACAGAAAATCGATGACCGAAAGACGAAGAAGTGAAAATGAAACGTGAGGCGCGAGACGTGTTATTGAAATCGAGTTTTAAGCAAGGGAATCAGGCGTTAACCTTGAGTTATATGAAAATTCTCTTGCTGGTCCCTCTCAAATTCCGCTCTTGCCGGTTGAACCCAACGTCTGTCATTACCATTCCCCACGCATCAGTGGAACGCCTCCTGAGATGATGTCATGGCTCCGCCGTCGGTTCCATTGATTTTTATTTATTTTTCCCCCTCTCTCGGATGAATGAATGCCTTACTGGCAAGAAGCATTGTAGGTTTTGTATCTAGAAGCCGTTGTCAGTAATGCAGATGGCCTCAAAAGAACAGAAGTAGTAAACCCACTTACATTCGAATATGATATGATCGCCATCAAGTTGAGTATTCAACCTATCAATAATGAGAAAGGAAAGATGTCAGAAGTCACCATTTTGCCTTTGCTTTTTTTATTTTTTTTTCTTTCCCCCGTGCATTCCGCCGGCCGTTGTTCTTCGAGGTATCAAAGTTGGAATGAATTATTTATTATATTATTGACCAAGGAATGACGCATCTCTGCCGGACCCTGGGCTCCCCTGGAGCCTCCACAGATTTCCCGCCGCATCTTATCGAAATCCAGATCTTTAACCACAGCTTTGTTGTTTTAGGTTTAAGGGTATTCATCCGCGGCGCAGAAGGATATTCAAACGCGCGCCACGCAACAAAACTGCGCTGCGTGGCTTGTATTCAAAAAGAAAAGGTCGGGGCGTCTGTTCATTGTTATGGACGAGCATTCATACATAGTAGTCTTTGCTCTCACATCCATTATAGGTTGCTGTGCAATGCAGGATTGATGGCTTCTCGACGTAAGTATTAAGTTACCAATGACGTCCGTCGAGAAGCTTGACGCCAGGGCAGTGGTAGACTAACTAACTCCATTGCACGCATACCCCCGTCGATATACTGTACTAGTATGTAGGCCATAGAAGATAACTACCTAGCCCTATTTTGGACATCTGCAGCTTCGACTTTATCCTGGAGAGCATAGCACTGTACAAAAATAGCATCGAGTAAAAAATATAGACATCGAATGATGATACAGGTGGCATTTCCAAAGACATGTATCTATCTAATAAATCAACCCAGTCCAAGGCGAAAACACTTCAAAAAAGTGTCCAACGGAGAATACAAATTACATAGTTTTATATGTACGGGACATTCATTACAACCACCACCACCGGCGCCATGAAGTGGTCTAACCACCTCCGAAGAAAATGAACAAACTCACTCAACTTATTTTTTCCCCAGATCTCAAGCCAACTACACCTTCACCCCCCATTCCCATCGACAACACACTCCTCCTCCTCCTCCA